AGAAGTTGAATGATGTATAATTTTCAGTATTTGTTTAATATTACAGTTTAACAGATAAAGAAGATGAGCAATGTTTAATTTTCACTGTGTATTATTCATTCATTCATTCATTCATTCATTCATTCATTCATTCAAACTTTTCCCATGTAAAAATACTACAATTTCAAGTACTGTATAAATATAAAAGGGCTGTAATTCTTCAGTTTGGTTTCAGTAAGCAGGGTATTGTTGGTGATAAATTAAAAATCTGAAACAGTGATGCTGTTTGATGGTGAGAAAAAAATAAAATAAAAAAATAATAATGCTGAATTGTGCATTTTCAAACTGAGATCCAAACATAGCTGGATTATTAAAGATCTCTTCTAATAACAGTTTATATTGCATTAGTTGACAGCTGTCAGTCACATATCCACAGGCCCATCATCATAATGCAGTATGTGACAGTTTCACCGTGCCACACATATTTCCTCACAGTTGTCATTTATTTATTTTCCGGCTGATGCAATATTTCATGGAACGCACCAGCACAACTGAGTTCTTTTCACATTTCAGAAGCGTAGCGTGTCAGGGAGCCTCAGAGCATGACATAAATATTCATTTATTTCTCTATAGTTGCACAGTACCAGCCATATCTGCTGTCAGAAACGCTCACATTACATATAGCTTTTTGGATTATAAAGTCTAGTTGTCATGCATCTCAGGTTGTTTCTGAAGTTATCAGAGCGCTCTGCTCAAGGACAAAACGCTGCACAAGACATCACAAAATCTTGTTTTTCACATACTGAAATATGAAATATGCTATTCATGTAACTGGATGTCCTTTGCCTTTATGCAATTCATGGAACAGAGAGTTCAGAATCTACATTCTGATTCTCACAGCAATGAAATGTACTTTTATATTACTATTTTAGCAATAATGAAAGTTGAAATAATAATGGTTAAAAAACTTAAATTATAAACAGACAATATTCTGGAATGCTGTAATGGATGAAAGTGTGTGTTAAATGAATAAATCTAAAATCTAAAAAATATCAAAATTATGATGTTATTAAATGTAATTCAATACTGTACCAGAATTATTTTTTTTTTTTTTACAAAAGTAACAAATTATGCAATTCATGGAACAGAGAGTTCAGAATCTACATTCTGATTCTCACAGCAATGAAATGTACTTTTATATTACTATTTTAGCAATAATGAAAGTTGAAATAATAATGGTTAAAAAACTTAAATTATAAACAGACAATATTCTGGAATGCTGTAATGGATGAAAGTGTGTGTTAAATGAATAAATCTAAAATCTAAAATCTAAAAAATATCAAAATTATGATGTTATTAAATGTAATTCAATACTGTACCAGAATTATTATTTTTTTTTTTACAAAAGTAACAAAAAATTCTTTACAATCAAACACAAAGTTATATTAATTGGTTTATTCTTTATTTCTAACCATGTTTATCCTCTTCAAACCTGTATTTAATGTATGTTTGTGTCGTATTTTCTTTTATCTTATATAGTTTTGTTCATCTTTTTGAAGATAATATTATGTTGTTAGTTGCAATTGATTACATAGCTTACATAAGAATGATTACAAAAGATAACATAAGAATGAAGATTTTTCAAATTATACACACACACACACAGGTTTGTTTTTGTGAAAAGTGGGGACATCTCATAAGTGTAATGGTTTTTATACTGTACAGACCGTATATTCTATTGTCCTACACCAACCCTACCCCTTACAGGAAACTTTCTGCTATTTCAGATTTTCAATACACTTCATTCTGTGTGATTTATAAGCGTTTTGAAAAGTGGGGACATGGGGTAATGTCCTGAAAAGTCACCTTCTCCTTGTAATACCTATGTCATACCTTTGTCATTATACAAATTTATGTCCTCATTTGTCACAAAAACGCGCACGCACACACACACACACACACACACATATATATATATATATATATATGTATATGTAACAGCTTTAATGAACTTATCAGAATAACAAAAGTAGTGAAATGTCAAAAGTTTGAATCATTTGAAGTGAATCATTTAACTTACAATTTACAAATGCAAAGGAGTGGAAAAATATGCTCCATTAAATGTCAAAGAACAAAATAAGCAAAGTAAGCTCTTTATTTAAAACAAAATCTGTCATTTTCTCTCATTTGGATGTGGTAAAACAGATGTAGCAGAAAACATCTGGCTCCTGTTTGCATTTCCTTCTGTCACTTCTGTCAATAATTCTAACCTTGAAATCAGGATTAGGCATAAAATACTGTCTTCAGGATCATTCTTACAAGTGAAAATCAGCCGAGGATTGAACAAATAGTTGTAACCTGACTCAGAGGAAGACAGGGATCATGTTATTGTGGCAGTTTTTCTGCTGATTAAGGGAGAATACACTTCTTCACCTTTCAAATGGCTGTCGAAAGCAAAAATGCTACGAAATGCATCATATTTTGTGAGAAAGTGACTTGCTTGTGTAAAACAGAAACTATTTTTGGAATCAGCTCCTCAAAATTGCTAAGAAACAAGTAATGGATTTCACACACACACACACACACATATATATATATATATATATGTATATGTAACAGCTTTAATGAACTTATCAGAATAACAAAAGTAGTGAAATGTCAAAAGTTTGAATCATTTGAAGTGAATCATTTAACTTACAATTTACAAATGCAAAGGAGTGGAAAAATATGCTCCATTAAATGTCAAAGAACAAAATAAGCAAAGTAAGCTCTTTATTTAAAACAAAATCTGTCATTTTCTCTCATTTGGATGTGGTAAAACAGATGTAGCAGAAAACATCTGGCTCCTGTTTGCATTTCCTTCTGTCACTTCTGTCAATAATTCTAACCTTGAAATCAGGATTAGGCATAAAATACTGTCTTCAGGATCATTCTTACAAGTGAAAATCAGCCGAGGATTGAACAAATAGTTGTAACCTGACTCAGAGGAAGACAGGGATCATGTTATTGTGGCAGTTTTTCTGCTGATTAAGGGAGAATACACTTCTTCACCTTTCAAATGGCTGTCGAAAGCAAAAATGCTACGAAATGCATCATATTTTGTGAGAAAGTGACTTGCTTGTGTAAAACAGAAACTATTTTTGGAATCAGCTCCTCAAAATTGCTAAGAAACAAGTAATGGATTTCATTCAGCAAATATTGTTTTTCCAGCTGTCTTCAACTCTCAAAGCATGAATACAAAGATCTCCACGATAAGCAATAACACACGGCTTTCCTTTGCACTACAAAGCACTCAACCAGGGTTTCATTTCACTATTTTGCAAAGCCATTGAACAGCAGAAGTAAAAGCATTAGGATGATAATAGTCTGTAATCCAGCAGCGTGTGTGTGTAATTGAGCTCTGAATGGACACACACACACACACACACACACACACACACACACACACACAAACACACACACACACACACACACACA